ACACACACAGACACACACACACACACACACACACACACACACACACACACACACACACTCCAATTATCTACCAAAGAGGCAGAAAAGGAAACAAAAACCAGAAAAATCAAATACAACACTCATAGTATGGATTTCTCTGGGAAGGGGAAATACAAGAGATCTGGGTAAACTAGAGGTGGGGGTGGGGGGATGGGAAATGAGGGATCTGGTTAGGCAGGTTGGGGGTGAGACAGAGCAGGAGAGTAATGAAAGACAAGTCTGCAGGGGTGGGAGTATTTCCAGGGTTAGGGAGAAACCTGGTGCCAGGAATCCAGAAGGATGACCCCAGCTAAGATGCCTAGCAATAGTGGAGAGGGTGTCTGAACTGGCTTTCCCCTGTAATCAGATTGGTGAATACCTTAAGTATCACTAGAGAGCTTTCATCCAGTAACTGGTGGAAACAAATGAAAGATCCACAGCCACGCACTGGGCCAAGCGTGGGGAATCCTGTTGACAAGAGGGAGGAAGGACTGTACAAGCCAGGGGGATCAATGCACAAGGGAACCCACAAAACCAACTAACCTGGGCTCATAGGAGCTCACAGATTCTGGACTGACAATTAGGGAGCCTGCATGGGACCAACCTAGGCCATCTACATATGTGTGACAGTTGTGCAGCTTGGTCTATTTAAGGAACTCCTAGCAGTGGGATCAGAGCCTGCCCCTAAATGCCTGAGCTGGCTTTTGGGAAACTATTCCTCATACTGGGTTGCCTGGCCCAGCCTTAATACGCAGTTTTACTCAACTTGACATGCCATGCTTTGTTGATACCCTGCTCCTTTATGAAACATGAGGAGGAGTGGATGGGGGTGGGGGGGAGGGTAAGCAGAGAGAGTGAACTGGAGGAAAGGAGGGAAGGGAACTGTGGTCGGGATGTAAAATAAATGAAAAAATTGTATTAATTCAAACAAAAAGAGTAACTTGAGCTATATTCTTTGTGACGGACACCCCCCCCAAAAAAAAAGAAAAAAAAAGGAGAAAAAAAAAGATTAACTTAAATTTAAGCACATTAATAATCACATTAAACAAACAATTTACTCCAATTAAAAGGCTAAGATTGTTGTCTGAGTAAAAATATAGGACTCAAGAATATACTGTCTTCAGGACTTTGCAGAACATGAGATAATCTTTGCTATCTATATATCCAGGGAATTAATATTCAGGATATACAGATTATTACTACAAAACAAAATAATAATCTAAGAAATAAATGAACAAATATGTATTATTCAAAATAACACGAGTCAATGAATACATGAAAAAAAATTTCAGCATGTTTAGCCATTATGGAAATGCAAATCCAAACTACATTGAGATTTCATCTTAAACCAATCAGAATGGCTAAAACAAAAATCAATAAATGCTGGTATGTATGAGAGGCACATTCATACATTGTTGAGTGGGTATGTAAATTAGTATAACCATCATAAAAATCAGGATGGAGCTTCCTCAAAACCCAGAACTACCATGTGATCTACCTACACCATTCTCAACTACACACTCAAGCAATAAGACCAGCTTAGTAGAGAGATACCTGTATATGTGTATTTAGACACTATTCACAATAGGCAAGTTATATGACGAACAGGTATCATCAACAAGTAGGTAAAATGTGTCATACACACACAAAATGGAGTTTTATCCATCCATAAAGAAGGAAATCATATCATTGAAAGAAAAATGGAAAGCCAGTGAAGCAAGCCAACTCAGAAGGGCAAATAGCACATTTTCTCTGTGGAAGCCGGGGGAAAATGAGAAAAACAACATTAAAGGGGAAAGGAGACTACTGTGAAAGAGAAAGGGGAGGAGGGAGAAGAGGGAAGGAAAGGTGATGGGGTGGGTACCATCAACTACATGATGCATGCAAACATCACAACAGCCCACTATTCATACAACATTAAAAATAAATTTTACAAGTGAAGCAATTTGTCCAAGGTCATGTAACCAAATAACAGGTTAGGATTTTACTTAGGTACAGTCCGGCTGGAGTCTCCTAACCTTGAATCTCTCTAGCTCTCACAGCACACAGGTACACATCATTGTATATGTGCTATGTATATGCAACCACAAATTATATATACTAGAGTATATATTTCTTCATACTTACTTCTTTTTTATAGTATGTTGTAGGTATTTTCTGTAATAAATGTAACTATCATTTCCACAGTGATATAACATTCTATCAGCCCACCATAAAGGACTTAAATGATAAATTCTAGATTTATCCTTTGAGCATATCATAAAAATCACTGCTAAAAATAGCTTTATGTTGGACACTTTTATACTACCATTGTCTCCTTTATGCACATTTTACTCAACTGGACTACCATGTTAAAAATGTATTATTTGTTCTCTTCACATAGTGACTATTTCACTATAAAATCTTAATCTGGTAGGAATCCTTGATATATCATGGATCATCATCATCATCATAGGCATAATCAAGCATTTTCCCCTCAAAAGAACTGAAGCCTAAAAAGGTAAGGTGGCAAGCTACAGAAGATAGCAGGTGTGAATCAGAACACAGCTTTACATTTTAGTTACTTCAGGCAGATGTTACCTATAATTAGTATAAGTGGGAAGCCATGTGATTCTTTATTCTTTCGTATGTTTTCCAAATTGTCTAACATAAACATGCCATTATTCTGACTAATGTTTCTCAAAGGTGACAAAACAATACTGTACTGCTTCCAGAGGGAGCAGGAAAAATGGGTGTGGGGTTATTGTGAATGCATGTGCACATGAACACCAGAGGGCAATACTGGGTGTCTTCCTCACTTTAGAGCCAGTGTCTCTAACTGAACCTGGAACTTGCTGATTAGCTAGACTGGCTAGCCAACCAGCTTCAGAGAACAACCTGTTGCTGCATTCTGAGAGCGGGGATTACAGAGGAATGGTGTCATGTCTGACTTTTACATAGGTGTTTGGAATCAAAATCAGGTGGTCATGTTTGATGGTAATAAGCACTTGATGACTGAGCCATCTTCCCAACATCAGTTTTACTCTAAAAATTTGTATTTGTTGATGCAGTGTCTGGGGGAACTGTTGCCACTTACAACAATGCTTTTCTAAAATGCCCTGCACAGTCCTGACAACAAAGATTTGCCCTTCCATGATTTCCAGCACTGTTTCCAAAAGGAAACAATAACAGAGTCTTAATAAACAAAGCTTCCCCTCCAAAAAACAAACAAACAAAAAAACTAAACAACAAAAACACCTGTTAAGGCTTAGGATAAAAAACAAAAGTAATCCTAACAGCTAAATGAAGCTTTTGAGTGAAGGCAGGAACTTCGCAAACATGCTATGGAGAACTATTATATATAATACTGTTCTATTAAAAAAGGATTCGGGCTTTCACCTTTGAGCAGTCAAATGTAACTATTTTGAAAAGCAAGCTTAACAAAGAGGCTTAAATTATCTGGGCTAGCAAAGAAGGAAGTGAAAGGTAAGGGGTGCTATTTGGTTGCACAGCTCCATTCAAGAGATCACAGGTTCTTTTTTGTTGTTGTTGTTGTTGTTTTCTGAAGAGTTCTATATAACCAAAGAAGAGCATTCAAATGACTATATTAATAAAACAAAATATGGATGTCCATATACTTTCACAAACAAAAATAATGGGATTCTAATGCATAAAGTAAAAAGTGATCATTCTGTGTATTACTGCTAACCTGTCATGTCAGTACAGTATCCTGAGTTGGCCTATAATAATAATAATAAAAAATTCAGACAAAACCATGCCCCCAATTTATCATTTAAGTTCTGAAACCATAAAGATAACAATATTCTTCCCACTGGTTTAAACTTATCTAACTAAAAATCCCTTTTTCTGTGTGATTAAGAACAAATTAATAGTAGGCAATGTATCTTTAATGCTAATTTCCAGGTACTTTATCATCATTAGCAAAGAAAACCAACATTTTTGGTATTTAAGTTAAACATTTCTGCTTTTATGTGCTATATCATATCTGACAGAAACAGTTATATGTATTCACAACTTCCTGAGGAACTACTTAATCTTTCTGTGATCACATAAACAAACAAGGTCTCAAGAACATGTTTTCATGGTCACTAAAGGTCTATGGCTTTACAATGCCACCCCCTAGAGGAATCTTTAAAAGCCAAATTAGAAAGTTTATACTTCAGTTACAGTGAACTTAAAAAAAAAAAAAAAAAGATCTTTCTGAATTTAGCCTACAGCACCAAATCTGGCACTGTCAAAAATTGTTATCATATAGTTTTGTTAGAGGGAACTCAAATATTTTCTGGCTTTATTAAAGAAAAGGGGGAATGTAGTCAGACTTGCTCATTGGGACTGCCAGTCTGCAAATAATGACATGGAGACTTATTAATGACGAAAGCTTGGCCTTTAGCTTAGGTTTCTTTCCAACTAGCTCTTATAACTTAAATCAACCCATATTTTTAATCTACATTCTTCTGCGTGGCCGGTTACCTCATCTCCATACTGTATGTCCCGCTACCCCTGTGTCTCACTGGCGAATCCACCTTTCTTCTCCCCAGAGTCCTCTCTAGCAGGAAGTCACGCCTATTCTCTCCTGCCTAGCTATGGGTTGTTCAGCTCTTTATTACACCAACCACAATAACACATCTTCACACAGTGTACTAATATCTCCAAACATCCCCAAACAGGGGAGGAGCTTAGAACTACAGGGTTAGGAGCAGAAAGCCTAACCTTCATTTCCTTCCTACTTAAGTCTCTCCCCAGATTATGTCCTTACCTTTTTGTTAATTACTTATCACTGACAACTTTTTCATTCAACATTTCTCCTCTCCACCTGTCATTCAGGTGTTGGTTCTAGCAACAGAGGACCACAAATGGCTACAAGAGCAAATGCCCCTAAAGAAAGATTATTGTAAATGCCAAGAGTTACATAAGCTTTAGTTGTCTGTCAATTTCTGTGATTAACTGTGTGGTCATAGTTCTCCTCTAAGGACCACTGTTACCTTAATATTCAAGTCAATCCAGTAAATGCTCTTTTGGTATCAAATTATCTCTGGTGGCACAGTAACTGAATGAAGAAAAGCAAGCCTCCCCGAGTCCACAGTCTAGAAGAGAAGACAGGCAAATGAGCAGGTAGCCAGAAGAAAGCCACAGAAAACACAAGGAGGACTAAGAAGATGAACCTAAAACCAAGGGCCCAATGGCTACCAGGAACAACACTGACATTTAAGCTACGACCTTAAGGATAAGAATGGAGTGTGGCTGGGTGGTGAGCACTGGGAGGCAGAGCCAGGCAGATCTCTGTGAGTTCAAGGTCAGCCTGGGCTACAGAGTGAGTTCCAGGAAAGGCACAAAGCTACACAGAGAAACCCTGTATCAAACAACAACAACAAAAACAAACAACCAAACAAACAAAAAACAAAAAACCCCACAACAAAACAACAACAAAAAAATGGAGTGTGTGATGAGAGAAGAAGTCATGGAGCAGAACAGAGGCTGCAAGGCATAGAGACGAGAGCAAGTCAGTTAAGCTCCAGGAGGCGAAGGCAACTCAGTTTCATCAGAACTACAAAATATGACTCAAAATCCAATCTGGAGACACCATGCCATTGAAGACACTGCTATTTTCTCTGAATAACATTTGAACTCCATGTGCCTTTTGTTTTTGTTTTTTGTTTTCAATGGCTTTATTTGTTATAATACTAAAAAAACCCAACTTACACAAAGGGGAAAAGCAATCAAAAGGAAAAATACCACACACATTCAAACACTTCGTTGCTTATGAATACATACAAAATTGTTTTTTTCTGAGACAGGGTTTCTCTGTGTAGCCCAGACTGTCCTGGAACTCGCTCTGTAGACCAGGCTGACCTCAAACTCACAGACATCTGCCTGCTTTGCCTCCCAAGTGCTGGGATTAAAGGTGTGCACCACCACTGACTGGTTCAAGATAGTCCTACATTTTTGTATAATTATTCAGCTTATAAAATGCACTTTGTAATTTTTGAACAATTATATAATTTTCTACCAGTGAAGACACTTACCATTTTCATAGTATCTATTTGTATATTTGTGATACATTTACATACACACACACAAAATTTGTGCTTTGAAATTTTATATCTCTCATTTATAGCAAAATGTGTGTAGTATTTGGGCCCCATACATGCTAGGCAAGTACTCTAACATGAGGTATTTCCCTAGCACTATTTCTGAGACAGGTTCTCATGTAGCCCAGGTTGGCCTTGGACTCTTGATCCTCTTGCCTCTACTTCCTGAATACTAGGATTACAGATGTATGCCATGATGCTCAGCAAACTTGAGAATGGAAAGATCTTCCTGCATTTTGCATTAACTACAGGACCAGAGCTAGCAGTGTCCAGAATACTTCACACAGTGTCTGTTATTTATAGGGACTTACATATTTTCTGTCTTTATTAAAGAAAAAAAAACTACATCATACATACTTCATGGAATTCTGCTTAAAGCTCTTACAATATTTGTGATTATTTCCTAAACACAAGTTTCCCCAAACTGGAACCACTCCTATATATATATACATATATATATACATACATATATATATATATATATAAACATTTTCCCAAAGTGCTTTCTAAAACTTTGTGCCAAATCTCTCAGCTGTGTCAGTCAAGATTTTGGTACACTCATCTATACTAAATTCAATTTTTACATTAAAAAATAATATACTTTGGATTTCATATTCTTAGAAACTCCTACCTACAATGATATCTGTACTAGGGATTGGATCCAGGTAAAGACAGAGAGTTTCGTTTAATAAATATTTTGTACACAGAGACCACAGATAATCTTTTTTTTTTTTTTTTTTGTGCACATATCTGCTTCTCTATGCAGTCATGTATGGAAGCAGGGATCAATGTTGGGTGTTTTCCTCTGTTGCTTTCCACCTTATTTTCTGAGACAAGGTCTCTCATTGAACCTGAAGTTCATCCCCACTGGCTAGGCTGGCTGGCAGTAAGCTGCTGGTATCTACCTGTCTGACCTCTCCAGACTCGTGCTATTGTGACCTCTCTTTCTTGTGGGCGCTGTGAACTCAATTTTCCTGTCTGGAGAGCACGCGTGTCACCCACTGAGTGATCTCTCCAGCACTCATCTCTCCAGCCTGGACATAAATTTATATATTCCAACAGCTTGAAGCACGAAACAATGTTTCTCAGTATGAAATTTTCTACTCCTGCCATCATGATGGCAGTAAAAGCCTTTTGAATTATACAGCATACAGGGTGTGTGTGTGTGGGGGGGGTAATAAATCTAATTTAAAATGTTTAAAGATAAACTCAGTAATAAGAAACTACCAGAAATGGTCAGGCAGAATTAAAAACAAACAATACCAGAAATAAGAAATAAAAGTTGAAGTCGACTCAATGGATGTGTTAAGCAACGGAACACCTGGAGGCTAAGACAGGCCTTATGGAGTTACACAACATAACAGAGATAAGATAGCTGAAAGAATTAAGAGAAGAAAGCTAAAGGGAAAAGAATAACATATACGTAACAAAAACTTCACAATAGCTATAACAAGGAAGCAGCAACAAGGTAATTTTCTATAATTGATAAAAGACTCATTTACAGCCGGGCTGTGGTGGTGCACGCCTTTAATCTCAGCACTCGGGAGGCAGAGGCAGGCGGGTCTCTGTGAGTTCGAGGCCAGCCTGGGCTACCAAGTGAGTTCCAGGAAAGGCGCAAAGCTACACAAGAGAAACCCTGTCTTGAAAAAAACAAAAAAAAAAAAAAAAAAAAAGACTCATTTACAGTCATAATCCCAAATTAAAACCAAATCCCAAGTGAGGACACAGAAGAAATCAAGGCCTAGAAAACTAGAATGTATCCTAGAAACTGAAAGACAATTTACATTAAGCAGTTTGGAAAAAGAACTTCTTGAAGAAAAGACAGACCATGAACTGGAGAAAATACCTGCAATACATGTAACAAAGGATTAGTATATATTATTAGAAAAAAGACAGTTCAATAGAGGCATGGGCAAAACAACAAAAGGTCAGTTCAAAAGGAAACCACATGTTTAATTAACATATGAATAGCTGTTGACCTTCATTAAAACTCAGAGAACTGCAACTATCACTTCAAAGAGACAGCATCCACAGTCACCAAATTAGCAAAAACTAAAAACTTTAGTAACACCAAATGTGAGTACATTAGTATGTTCCCATCATTCCTTAAACTCTGTATGGACATCATTTACAATATTATATACAGGTCTCATAACAAAAAACTATTACAGCCAAATGGACTTGTCATAAAATGCCTATTCATGACTCGAGGGAGAAGGATTCCACTTAAATTGAAATAGGCGTGAAAACCAGATGGCAGCAGGGTCAAAGGTGAAGGGTGAGGACAAGAGTGGACTCCCACTTCAAGTTCACCTCAAAGGTGGAGTGATGAGGCTCAATTTTAGGGGTCTGTCATGGGAAACACTTCTCTTAGTTTTTTTTTTTTTCTTTTTAATTTTGTATGTTTAAACAAAGGAAATGGGGACAATTTTAGACACAAAGGGAAGGAACGGATCCTGGGTAGTCACAAAGGTGCACAGTTACTAGGTGCATGAATAAAGATTCGCTCAGAGGGGGAACAAAGGGCCCTATTTCAGTTCCGAGACATTGCTTCTTTGTTCATGTACCAGCTTCTCTCTGGCTCTACACCCAGTATCCCAGCTCCTCTTTTAAACTTGCTTCTGGACCTTCAGACTTTTATTCCATCTGAAGGTATATTCCTCCCCAAATATGCATGAACTAATGGCTTCGACTGTCAATTCAGCCAAGTACCCTCTGAACAAAGGAAAATGAAACCCCCTCTACCCTGTTCTGGTACTTCTGTTCCCTTTCCCGATTTACTTTATAGATTTTGCATGAGTACTGTCTCAGCAACCTCCTCTCATTAGTACTACGAACGGCTTTTGGCAGTACCTAGGAAAGCCCGGCACCAGGTAAAAAGGCTCAATGATTACATGCTGCACGGGTGATTATTAGGGCTTGGTTGAGGAAGTTAAAAGAGCAAGCACGATGAAAACAATACTCTTCAGTTTTGACAAAGATGAAGTGCAGTCATCTCATGGCTTGCGGGAGAGGTTGCATTTCAAATCTTAAATCACGCGGAGTTTGGCAGCGATGGGGCGAGGTGTGTGATGACACCCGTGCACACTGGAGAAAGGAGGCACACGGAGAGAAAGGGAAGGGATGAGCTGGTGCAGACTTTTGCTAACAACGTCCCTGCAATGTTCTCAGCAGAGGACGAATCATACTGAGTTTCTCTATTCTGCAAGTTCTTCAGGGGCTCCGAGTAGTACAGTCATTTCTTGCAACAAAGATACGAGCATAAAATTCAAAACACACTTTCCATAAAACTACTACTAGCCCTCACCCGCTTTACCAGCTCTAAAAGCCCGAACCAAGTCAGACCCGTTTTCCCTTTGGCGGTGGGGCACATAGACAATCGCAAACCGCGACAACTGTCAACGAAACTTCTCAACTTTTCGTCCGCTCCGGACGACAAAGGAAGAGAGGGGCATGGAACCCTGACGTCAAGAGCAGTCGAACGCAAGTGCTGAGCAGCCGATACACCGCGAAGTCCACCTTCCTTCCCATCGCGGGGGGCGCGGGGGACGGACGGACACCCACCCCATCTCTAAGGCTCGACTGACTCCCCAGGCAGCTTTCGTGGCTACCCAGAAGACCCGGGAGGAGTGTGCAGACCACTCAGGGGGTCAGTTCCGAGGCTTGGCAGAGGTGGGGGGCCCTCGGGTGCTTCCCGGGGAGGGCCAGAGGTCAAGCAAGGCTCGGGGGTTTAAAGCCAGGGGGCGGGGCGGGGCGTGGGCTCGGGCACGGGGGGCGGGCGGCGGCTCGGAGGGACTCACAGTAGTAGGCCACCACGGGGTCCCGCTTGTCGTGCTCCTGCGCCGTTCGCAAGTGATGCTGTATGCTCTTAAACTGCGCGGGCAGCGGCGGCAGCGGGGCCAGCGCGGCCATCTCCCCTCGCGGAAGCACCACCACTTCCTACTCGCCGGCCACAAACACGCTTCCGCTTCCGCCTCCGAGCGCGGCCACGCCCGCCCGCGCTTCCGTTGCTCAGCCGCTTGGTCGGCTTGGCGGCGGCGACGGATGCCGGGAGGAGTCAGACTTAGCTGCCTGGGTCCAGGCGGTGGGGAACGCAGATCACGTGAAGGCTCCCCGCGTCGCACGCGGCACCAGCGCTCTCTGCTGGTAAGAAAAGGAGAAGCGTCTTTATTTAACTTTTTGCTTTTCTTTTCTTTCTTTTTTTTTTTTTGGTATGGAACAAAAGGAAGGAGAAGAAAGGGGAAAAAATAAGAAAGTAGAGTTCATGGACTGGGCGAAAGGAAAATATAACTCTCAGTTCCCCAATCTTAATTTTGAATTGAATTATATTTGAATTATATTAACTATTTCATCTAGCACTCCCAAACACGCCCCCCATTTCTGCCTGTCCCTGTCCTGTGTGTGTGTCCTTTGTTGGGGACATTCTAGGCAAGCATTGTTTACCACTAAGCTAGATTCTCAGCTTTCAACTCTCTCCCATTTTCCCTGCCCCCACTCCGTGTGTGTGTGTGTGTGTGTGTGTGTGTGTGTGTGTGTGTGTGTGTGACTAAGTTGCCAAAGCAGGCTTTGGACTTAATATCCATTACCTAGAGCTTTCCAGTTAGTAGAGATGACAGCCGTATGCTTGCTGATAGCTCACAGAGCTTTTTTTTTTTTTTTGGAGGGGGGGTTAAATAATTTTAATCAAACAAATGATCACAAAATAAAATTTTATAAGCACTCACACACACAAAAGTACACGTTGCAGCCCTTCTAGAAACTGTAGAGAGAGTGGAAACACGTATGTGGAGGAAGTCTGAACTGTAAAGAGCCATTACTTTTTGGCTTAGAGGCTTTAAATTCTTGCTAGAGAAGTGCTATGTTTAAGTCTTAAATTAAAAATTTGCAAGTTCACATACTGGACTAAACAGTCAGCCCTTTTCAAACTTGAAAGCTAAATATGTGGAAATTAATGAAAATTGAACTAATATTATGTAAGTTTATTATTCATGGAAGATGATGAACATTTGGGAAGTTTTATCCTATTTTAATACTTATCAAGATAGAGTCCTGGATATTTATTCAACACTTTTGACTCAGGTCGTTTTTCAGCATACCTCACCTTTTCTTTCTACAAGTTGATGTTTTTTTGTGCCTCCTTTCCATTCCATGGTAGCATCCTTAAGGAATTACATTTCATTTGTCCCGTTCAGTAATCTCTTCCCCCGTCCCCGCTGCTTGCACTAGTTCTCATTTTTGAGGTTTTACTTTTTTTTTTTTTTTTTTCCCGAGAGAAGGTATCTCTGTGTAACTTTGGCACCTTTCCTAGGACTCATTCTGTAGTCCAGGCTGGCCTCGAACTCACAGAGATCCTCCTGCCTCTGCTTTCCAAGAGTGCTGGGATTAAAGGCATGTGCCACCACCACCCGGCGAGGCTTTATCTTAATTATTTTTTTAATTGAAATCCCAGTACTGCCGAGAACTAAAATCTGAAGCTATAGAATTTCCTAAACCTAAAATTTTGTGATCATTCTCCTCCCAATGACATTGTAGTAGACCTCTCTAGATACTTTATGTGTGTTTTCTACACTTTGTGCTTATATTTATTTTTATATAATTTAATAAATTTAAAGTTAATATATAAAGTAAGGGCCTTAGGGATTTGTCATGGCATTTTCATATATATATATACGATACATATATATGAATCATATATAAATAATGTAATGATATGTATGTATGTAATAAAGCAATGTTAGACTTTGTCAAAAGTCTTTTCTGCATCTATTGAGATGATCTTGTGATTTCTGTCCTTAAGTATATTTATATGGTATATAGCTTTTATTGATTTGCACATGTTGAACCAACATTCTTTTTTTGGGGGATAAAATCATCTTGGCCATTGTTTATGATCTTCTTCATGTGATCTTGAATTGTGGTTGAAAGTATTTTTATTAGAATTTTTGTAGCTATGTCTGTTGCCAATATTGATACATAGTGTTCTTTAGCCTAACCTCATTTTGTACTGGGGTAACAGTGCTGCCCCAGAACGGGTTTGGTAGTGTTGCTTCTCTTCTTATACATGGAAGAGTTTGAGTATTGTTGCTGGCTCTTCTGTAAAGTGTCATTAGAATTCAACAATGCCAGGCACAGTGGTGCACACCATTAATCTCAGAATTCCGGAAGCAGAGGTAAGTGGACCTCTGAGTTCAGGGATAATCTGTCCACAGAGGGAGTTCTGGCTCTACACAGAGAAACCCTGTCTTGGGGCGGGGGGGATTGAATAGTGAATATGACCAGTCCTTTATCTTTATTTGTTCATTTACTTATTTTTGCTTTGTGGAGAAACTTTAAAAAAAAAACGATTGCTTCATTTTTATTCCTAGCTATGAGTCCTTTTAAGTTGTTTATATCCTTTTTATTTAATTTTGGTAAATTATGTATGTCTAGGAAATTCTTTCCCTTAGATTTTTCTAGTCGTTTTCTTTTAATATAAGTTTTTGACGTATTCTCTAATGATTCTGTGGGTTTCACTGGAATCTTCTATAACAACCTTTTCTGCATCTCAATTTTTATTAATTCTAGTTCTCTCTCTCTTCTCTCTCTCTCTCTCTCTCTCTCTCTCTCTCTCTCTCTCTCTCTCTCTCTCATTAGTTTTACTAGGAGTTTCTCAGTCTTGCGCATCTTTTCGAAGAACCATGTTTTTTTGGGGGTTGATACTGATGGTATTCCTTTAGCCTCTGGTTCACAACCTTCTGCCTTGTCCTTCATTAGTTCTTGCTGCCTACTTCTTTGGGGTTTGGCAGGTTTCTGTTTTCCCCAAAATGTTTGAAGGATACTGCTGGCTTTTTTTTTTTTAATTATTATTATTATTAGCAATCTCCTTGATTTTTTTTTAATGAAGCCACTTATAAGCTTTACATTTCCCAGTAACAATTGTCTTTGTTATATCCCTTAGTTCTGATAAGCTGTGCTTTAATTTTCATTTCATTCCAGTAATTTTAAAATTTTTTCCTTGGTTTGTATAATGATCCACTGCTTCTTCTCAAGTGTATTGTTCAGTCTTTAAATATTTATGCTATTTCTATGGTTTCTTTTGCTGTTGTTTGTAGTTTTATTCTATTATTGTCTTACTAGATACAATGAATTATTTCATTTCTCTAATTTTATTTAGACTTGCTTTAGGGCCTATAATATGTTCTATGATAGATACGGCATTAGATAAAATTTTTTGTAGATGTCTCTTAAGGCCAACTGGTCTGTGATGTGGTTTAACTGTGAATTTTCTTTGTTAATGTTTACTTTGCATGACTTTTCTGAGGATAAAAACAGGGTATTGATATCTGGGGTATTGCACATGTCTGACCCTTAATGTACATTACTGTTTAATTTATGAAATTAGGTACCCAAGTATTCATTGAAATGCCTTGATACATTTACATTTGTTATATCATATTGACTATGTCACTCGACTAGTATATTATAGTGGTCTTCTTTATTAATTATGGTCTGATGTCTATTAGATATCAGAATAGCTACACCAGCCTCGTTTGTTTCGATTTGATAGTTAGACTCTGATTCTTTGAGGCTCAGTCTCAATTTCTGTGCGACTTTGCCAGACATATGCTTCTTAGACGGACTATATAGTTATTAGAGCTCTTTTTTTAAAAAAAAATTTTAAAAAGAAGTCTGTGTATGTGTGTTTGTTCAGTAAGTCAGAGTGTGTGTGAGTGCGTGCATGCGTGTGTGTGTGTGTGTGTGTGTGTGTGTGTGTGTGTGTGTGTGTGTTTTGACCACGGAGGTGAGAAGAGTGCAGAGTGCATTGGATCCCCTGGAATTAGAGATACAGGTAGCTGTAAACTGCCTGAAACTTGTGCTTGGAACTAAACTCAGATCTTCTGGAAGAGCAATACCTACTTGTAACTACTGAGTGGTCTTGGCAAATCTTCGATTTTATTCTTTAGTCCAGGCAGCTAGTCTCACCTTTTTAAATGAGTTGAGGTCAGTTGTGTTTCAGTTTGTTGATGAGGATTTGCTAACTTCTATGTTTTTGTTTATCATTTTTCCTGTTAGTTAGGCTATTTTTTATTTTCTTCCCCCCATATTAGAAATAGGGTTTTGTTTGTTTGTTTGTTTGTTTTTGGATTACTGTATTTAAATAATGGAATTTTTCCTTTTGTGAAATTTATGCAGTCATGTGTTTTCTTTTGTGTTCCTTATAACGTTTAGATGCCACCTGCAGATATTTACAAAAAAATTTGCTGAGATTACATTGAATTTATAGATCTATGTGAGGTACCAGAAGTTCTAAGTGATTAAGACTACCAACACAGTTATGGCTAAGACATGCTTTATTTATTTTTCAGGACATTATTTTTATTGTACTTGTCTAGCAAATATTGTGTGAATTTTTTCTATGTATTTCCTGATTTTTTTTAGTCTGTTGTAAATGACAATACTTTCACAAATTTAAATATTTTATTGCTTTAAAGCTATGTTTTTTGATGAATTTCATTATTCTTTTAGGTTTTCTTTTATGTTTTAGAATTTTCTGTGTACTTTTGTATGAGTGCAGATGGCATTTCTTCTTTTCCAATCTGCCTATCTTTTATTTGGTTTTATTGAATTTACTGAAGAGATCATTCAGCATTAATACTTTTTTGTTTGCTCTCTAAATGAATTGCAGTTCAAATTAAGCCAAAACAGTTAAAGTGGAAATGCTTCTCTTTGTCCAGATCATAGAGAAAATTGTTCTTTCTTTTCAATATTACAGGGTATTTTCCAAGATTACTTTATATCCTTTTTTTTTCATCAAATTTAGATAATTCCCTCATTAAGTGAAAAGTTTGTTTTTGTTTATTTCATCAAAAATGACTATTAAATTTAACCAAATACTTTTATTTGCATCTGTTATGATGACTATGTGATTTCTTCTTTCAATATAGTTCAATTACA